CGGGCCATCCTGGCGCCTTCCCTGGCTGTGCTCTTCTGACAGTGACCTCTCTGCCTGGCACAGAACACGTTCAAGTTCAACGACTCTATTTGCCTTCCTGGGGCAATAACCCAGGAACAGGTGAGAAGAGCCTGGGCCTTGCCCATCGGCCAGAGGGCAGGTCTGTAGCAACCCAAGGGTTGACTGAGGTTGGCACCAGGCCTGGTAAAGGCATGTGAGGCCAATGACCGTCACAAAACCCCAGCTCAGTGTTGGTTTAACAGGCCAGTGGATGGGTCAAGGGGGCAGCCCTCAGGGAATTTCAGCTACCAGGCTCTTAACAAATGTGACCAGCCAGAGCCCCAGGCTCCTGCTTTCACAGCAAAGCAGCCATCTCACTAGTCATACTGCCAATCGATGAGAGGAAGCTCTTGGCCCCAGTGCAGAGGCAGACAAACCAAGGCAGCCATGAGCAACAAAGTTACTGTCCACACCAGATGGCACCTAAGCCTCAGTCACAACAGTGGCTTGCTGTGTGACAGCTTGGCTTCTCTGTGTCTTTTGGACATATGAGTATCTGCTGGGATGATTCATACGGAAATATGTTAATAGCAGCACTGCACCACACCTAGAGGAAGCACTCAGTGTCAAGTGGGCGGATCTCAACCGCTTGCTTTAATGTGTTTTTATAACAGGCCTAAGCCTCGGCAGGTGAAGGGCTGTTTCTGTCACCAGGCTCAACCCTGACTTCTGTCTGCACTAGCAGGCCACCTCTTGCCACCTCTGCCACATCGTCTATGTTTGAAGGAAACTCTCACATACTTTTTTTTTTTTTTTTTTTTTGAGACAGGGTCACTCTACATAGCCCTAGTTGTCCTGCAACTCACTCTATAGACCAGGCTGGCCTCGAACTCACAGAGCTCCACTTGCCTCTGCGTCTCAAGTGCTGGGATTAAAGGCTTGTGCCGCCAGGCCTCGCTGACTTATTTTTAAATGTTTATTTATGGTTGTAGTTTGTGTGTGTGTGTGATGCGTGTGTGTATGATGTGTGTGTGGTGTGTGTG